CTAGAGTGAGGCCTTTGTGTTAGCAGCACAACTTCCTATGGACTATGCTACCAGAGCTCTCTACATAATCATTAGAAATAAGAAACTAATAATTAATGCCCTCAAAGAAAGATTAAAGGTCAGGTTTTAAAGTAGTCCTTGTGGGTGTGAATATTCTTTCATTCACTTAGAGAATGCCTGGCTAACGGAATACAAATACTTCTCATTTGATCCAAAGACTCTGGATAAAGGCCAAATTCTAAATCACACATGATCAAGAAAATGAATCCAGAGATTATGTATTTGCTGATCCTGCCAAATGCCAAGTGTAAAGGGGGGAAAAATGGCCTTAGAGAAGCCCAGTTAAACTTGTTGGATTTTGTAAAACAAGTAGAAGTCTGGAGATTGAAATTTCTTGAGGATATTTTCATCCTAAATTCCATCAAAGCTTAAGCTGTCTCCTTATCAGTAAGATTGAATGTAATTTTGCTTGAGTGTATGAATGTGTAAATGGTTCTTTTAATTCTGTTGTGTACTGCTGAATGTTTCACAACAAATTCTTGGGAAAGAATCTCAACTGTGACATTTGCCAAGTCCTGTAATGTAAAATCTCTCATTATGATGGATGTCAAGCTAGCAACATAATGTCACTAGTGGTGGAGTTGGGAAGAGATACCACAGGTAGTTCTTCCAAGCTGGTATGAATTAACTCCACCACAGTCCTGTTTTCATGAATCACGATTAATAAGGCTCTCGAAAACTTAAACTTTACATTTATAAATCCACTTATCCTTGACATATTTTGCACTTTACTTTGCAAATATTTGCATTTATAGGCATTTTTTCCTTTTTATTTAAAATGTGAATATTTTCAAAAGAGATCTATATCTCTGGATAGAGGATCTCTATGAGTTGAAATAAGCTCACTGGCATTGGGATTTTGTTGTTGTTGTTGTTGTTTGTTTTGGCCACCTATATAAGCAAACATTCTGCTCTTATAATTTGAAAAGTCATGAAAGAGCTAAAGGTCCTTTATTTGCTTAAGACTTAGTTTAGATGAAAAGAATCAAGGAACGCTAATGAACCAATGAATGTACAAAGCTCAAGCATGCCATGAATAGAGCTAGTGTTGGGAAAGGGGACCATTCCAGCCTTAGGCCAAGAGGCCTGGCCCAGTAAAGGACAGAACTTCTGGCATCACTCCCCAGTCATTCTGCGTCCAGAGTTGGAAGGCAGAACCACAAAATGGACAGCTGCACCTAAATGAGCCATCCCATGGCAGAAGGAGAAGTCTGGCAGGAAGCTTTAGGGAAAGAGGGTAATTTGGTCCAAAGGCCTCTGCCAAAACAAAGACCTTTCAACCAAAAAGAAAGAAGTTGAAGCAAGTAGAAACTCAAACTGCTCTGCAACATGTTCTGCCCCTGAGTCTGAGCACCAGATTATGGCTTTCAAGGCCAATGCTGACTTCATGTTCTCTCTCTCTCTCCCTATCTCTTTATCTCTCTCCCTCCCCCTGCCTCCTTCTCTCCTTCTTTTTTTTTCTCTCTCTCTCCCTCCTTCCTCCTCCCTCCTTCTTTCTCCCCCCTCCCTGTCTCTCTTTTCTCTCTCTCCCACCTCCTCTCCTTTTCCCTTTCCCTCTCTCCCTGCCTCCTTCCCTCTCCCTTTCATCCCCACCCCATTCTTTTTGCCAGGTATAGATGTCCTGGAACTCTACTTTTGGGAGCTGGAGGATGTCACAATTGAGCTCAGGCTGACCACCTGCAGTGTGTCTACATTTGGCCTTTGGCCTAATGAATGGCTCTCTTGGAAACAGACTAGCCTCAGTGTAACTGGGGTAGGCGTCTCTTCTGTATACTCTCTCTAGTTTTATTAACAAAACTCCTTCTTATAAACAAGAAATCTGGGATGTCCTGGAGGCCAAAGGATGCTCATAACATATCACAAGAGTTTGCTTTAGAATCTGCTTAAATGTCATCTTGTAGATGTTAAGAAGGACTGGAGCAAAAGGCTAAATAAGAAATAGTTAAATGTTGTTGTTGTTGTTAATTTCTGTTGAGTCAAGCATGATTCATAGTGACCCTATGAACAAAAGACCTGAAGCTTTTCTATAGCTATAGGCATTTCTCAAAGTTCATAGTTTCCACAGGCATGTTGTTTAGGAATTGGGTACCGTTTCTGCTTCCAAACCTGTCTTAAACTGGGAGCTCCACCAAACACTGTCCATGGGTAACCATAATGGTATTTGACACTCCAATATCACAAGGTTCAGCATCACAGCAATCCTAGGTTACCTAAGTACTGCAAATTCACAGAAGAGTGCTGTACCACTTAGAAGAATGTTCTTCCAAAATATAATAACAACAACAGACTTTTAAATACTAAGGTCCTCCACAAGATCTTGTTGACTCTAAACAAGAGGTTTAAATAAAAAAAACAACCAATATAATATGTTGCTGTTGATTGTTGTTATGTGCTGTCAAGTTGTCTGTGACCCACAGTGACCCTATATACAGCAACTCTGAACCCTTCCCTGTCCTGAGCCAGTCTCACTAATTCCGACAAGATGTAATAAAATAGAGCAGCCAACACCAGAAGAAACCCTTGAATACCATTCTGAGGAATATCAATTTGATTTTGCAGGCCAGAAGACCTACTTATGATAGTTCAGTGGTAGAATTCACATAAGAATCAGGTTCTATTCCTAGCCAGTACATCTCCTGCACAGCCACTTCCCACTTGTCAATGAAGGAGATGTGTATGTTGTTACTATGCTGAAGGAGTTTTAACAGAGCTTCTAGATTAAGACAGTCAAGGAAGCAAAGCCTGGTGATCTACTTCAAAAAAATTCACTAGTGAAGACTCTATAAATCACCACGGTCCCATCCGCAACCATCTGTCAGAAGGATGAAGTTCTATATCATATGCATGACGTCACAGAATCAGCATAGACTCAATAACAAGTAGCAAAAAAGCCCTACTGGAGATTCTGAACAAGAGACATGGCCCCCACTAAGGGATCAAATGATTTGGATATAAAAGAATGACACAGAATAAAGAGAAATTGAATGGAACTCTACTTTGCCTGACATGGAAACTTAGACAACTTATTCAAGCTATTTGGGCTCCATTTTCCCCAGGAACCCAAGTTCCCTTAAAATACCAATGAATGTGATATGATGTAATGATATTCCACAACACAATCTAAGGTGATTGACTAATCACTTGAAATCATACCAGTGTAAGGTAAGTCCTACATTTTATTATGCCTGAGGTTTATATACAAAAAGTAATACAGACACAGAGGCATATGCACTCATATCAAGGAAGGTGGATGCTATGTGAGTATCATCTTCAATCAAGGAACCTAGGAACACTTAAGACAACTCACAAGAAAGGATGAGGCTCAGTTGAGATCCTGATTTGGATTTTCAGTGTTTAGGACAACAAGGAATTTCTGTTCTTTAAAGTCATCATCTTGAGATGTTTTTGCTGCAGCAGCCCTAAGACACTAAGATATCAACTGAAAACTGGAAGTAATCCATCTTTTACAGGGCCTGGGTTAGGGAATCTTCAGGACTCTGATATTGTTCTTAATAACTGTCATTAAGTCAATTACAACTCATAACAATCCTATTAACAATAGAGCAAAACTTTGCCCTATTCTGAGCCATTCTCAAATCCACTGTTGTAGTCATTGTGTCAATCTATTGAGGGTCGTCCTCTTTTTTTCTGGGAGTAAAGGTCACCTTAAAGTTTAAACCCTTGGTGCACTTACTACTCAACCCTGGTCCACTCCATGATCTTGTAGGAGCCAAAACACAAAGTGGTAGAAATACTGTAACCATAAAGTTCTGAACTAGAGCCCCAGTGGTTGATTGTTGTTTACCATAGAGTCAGAACCAACTCGTATCTGACCCTCCTGTGGGTTTTCAATGGCAGAAAATCACATGGGAGGAGATTGCCCATCCTTCTCCCGCAGAGTGGCTAGTGGTCTTGAACACATGCCTTTGGGATTGCAACACAGCTTCTTGCCACTAGGCCACTAGAGCTCCAAATTTTAGATAGCTAGCTAGCTAGATAGATAGATGTTATTGTTGTTAAGTACTGTCGAGTCACAGGCCACTCATAGTGACCCTATGAATGAAAGTCCTGAACACCTTCTGTATAACTTTTTGTCCTTTCTCCAGGTTCATAGGGTTTCCCAAGGCAAGCTATTGTGGAAGTGGAAGCCGCTCCTGCTTCCAAGCTTGTTTGAATCGGGAAGCTTCACCAAACACTGTCCACCATGGGTAACCATTCTCACATTTGACTCATCAATATCACAGTGTTGGGCTTCACAGCAACCATGAGTTACCTCTGTACAGCAAGTGGACAGACCAGGGTTACACAACCTAAAAGAATGTTTCACCAAAAACAGTTAAAGGCTGGCTGACTTCCAGATTGGAGGGAGACTCCCGTCCCCAAGCCTCGTGAAGGCTTTTAAGCTAGGACCTGGAGCAGGCTTCGCAGGCTCAACCCCACCCTTACTTACCTTTACTCTAAGGGTCAGGACTGCCCATGCAGCTTTGATAGCCAAAAGGGACAGTAACACAAAACACAAAAGACCCCCCCAAAACTATATATATATATATAGTTGTTGTTATTTACTGTCGAGTTGGAGCCAATCCATAGGTGACCCTCCAGTGGGTTTTCAGAGACAGTGAATCACACAGCGGGAGATTGCCCATCCTTCTCCCACAGAGTAGCTGGTGGCCTCAAACTGTGTGCTTTTGGGATCCTTCTCCCACAGAGTAGCTGGTGGCCTCAAACTGTGTGCTTTTGGGATTGAGGTACAGTTTCTTGCCACTAGGCCACCAGACATAGCAGGAGTGGCATCCACTTCCCAAACAACATGTCTCCAGAAGCCTATGAATGGTGATAGTTATAGAAAGGCTTCAGCCTCCTTTTTTCCCCCCATAGGATCACTATGAGTCTTGTTCAACTCAAAGGCAATCAACAACAAAGTTCAGAATGGCCCTTACCTGTGACCAGTCTCCCACTGTGAAATGTGGAGGGCAGTCTGTCCTGGCACAGGACTTATGTGACGATGCCTTGTGACCCTGGCACAATTCATCTGAGAGATTCAGAAAGCTTCCATCTGTCAACAGCTGCCGACAGGTGACTCTTCGATTCTGGGTGCCACCACCACAGGTCCTGGAGCACTGAGAAGAAAGGAGGAAATGATCAGCGAGGTCCATGTGACCTAGTCTATGTGAAGACAGCACAGTGCTATCCAAGTGTGTCGGGCCAAGTAAGCCTGTCTGCTGTACCTGCTGCCATTCTTCAATGTGCCAGCCTGGAGGGCAATCGAACTGATTACATGCTTGCAGTGCATGAGGCTTCTCAGCTCTGCATTCTTCAGGAGGGGCAAGGGAGTCCCCAGGGTGCAGGCAGTGGACATCCCGGGTCTGGATGCCAACACCACAGGTGGCTGAGCAGGGTCCCCAAGAGCCAGTGTGCCATCTATTAAAAAAAAAAATAAGAGAGGAGGGTGAATTATCCTCTAGGATTACGTAGTACAATCAGAGCATGAACAATTCTAAGTTATTATCTTCTAGAATTCACATTCTATAGAGAGATTTTGGATCAGGTACACGGTTTATGTGCTGTAGTGCAAATCACAAGATCAGCAGTCCACTCGAGGGCATGTTGGAAGAAAGCAGTGGTGATCTATTCCTCAAGATTCAGCCTCTGATAAACTTAAGAACAAAGTGCTATCTGACACACATGATTATGAAGACAGCACAGGACTGGGTAGTTTTTCATTCTATTGTTATTAAGGCCCTTGTGAGTTGGGAAATTGTATGCATGCGAACGTCAGACAATAAACAAGGAAGACCAAAGGAGAATCAAGGTCTTTGAATTGTGATGTGAAGAGTATTGAATATTCATGCATGGATTGCCAAAAGAACAAACAAATAAATGTGTTTGGACAAAGCGCAACCAGAGTGCTCCTTAGAGGCAAAGATGGTGAAATGTAAATATTTGGTTATGTCATCAGGAGAAGCAAGTTCTTGGGAAAATATATCATGATGGAAAGAGCAGTGGTCAGAAAAAGAGGAAGACCCTCAGTGAGAGAGATTGGCAATAATGGTCTTGAGCGTGGCAGAGATTGTGAGGGTGGCACAGGTTGATTTATTGTTTACAGGTTTGCTACCCGTCATAGTGGATTCAATGGTTCTTAACAATAACAATGATTTGGAGCCAAGTGGTCAGTAAACACTGACACATACAGAGTCCTCACAGGGAAATTCAACAGCAACTGGTTTCATTGTAAGGATCTGAGGGTTATTGTGTTTCTCTCAATGTATGAAATTAAAATATAGAAATAGTAATGTTTAAAACACGAAATGTCAGTGAAGTGTTTAAAGATCTTACCCATTTGGAAAGGTCTAAGAATGACAAGAAGCAGGGCTCTACCAGGCTTGCCCTATGTCCCATACATCAATAGTAAAATTCTGATTTTGTTTTCAGTAGAATCCCAAGGCGAGGATGATTTATATACGTGTCAAAAGAAATTTTAAAGACTTAAAAGCACACTTCAGGAACTCTTCTGGGCACCTGCATTCATTATTTGGAATGTCCCTAAGAAAATTCTTTTATGTTAGGGTTGGATTTACAACATACATATAATGTGATTCATTTCCAATAAGATCTTGGAAAAAATCAGGTTTTCTCATGAAACATCTGTAAAAATGGAAAACCAATGCAGCTGCTTTTGATACATATTTCCAAACTGTCTTCAAGGAAGATTTTCCTAATATATGCTCCCACCAGAAAAATATGAGAATACAGAGATTCCCACACCCAATTCCAACACTGGTGAATATTTTTTAAAAAACTTCTGCATATCATATAGGCAAATATTTGTATATAATGCTTATTTTAATTCATAATTTGTTATTATTAGAAAGCATGGATTTTTACCTCAGGTGGTTTGTAATAGGAATTTTGTTTTTACAAAATTAGATAAAAATATCCCTAAATGTTTAAGAATAAAGTAAAAAAAGGTAAAGTAATTGTTCATACACATAATGCTAGCAGCTATTAGAATAATAAAAATATTGTGTGATTATTTGCATAGGAGTATGTTGATGATATATTTATTTTTTTATAAAGAAGTAGATGATAAAAGATCTTGTGAGACATAATAATGATTTGTGTATTTATTAACACAGACATAAAAAAGTCTGTACAATGATACACTAAAATGTTAGCAATGATAATCTCTAGGAGATTTTCATTTTTTTTTAATGCTTACTGGGGATTCACTTTGATTTTTCTTATGTGTAGATGATACAACCTTGCTTGCTAAAAGCGAGGAGGGCTTCAATAAGTTATTGCAGAAGATCAAAGATCACAGCTTTAATATGGATTACATATGAACATCAAGGAACAAAGATCCTCACCATTGGGTCAATAGGCAACATCATAATAGATGAAAAAAAGACTGAAATTTTCAACAAATTCTCTTGCTTGGATTCACAATCAATCCCCCTGACATCAACAGTCAAGAAATCAAAAGACTTGTTGCACTGGGAAAATCTGCTCTCAAGGACCTTTCCAAAGTGCTCAAGAGTAAGACTAAGGTTCAGCTGTTCTAAGCTATGGTCTTTTCAACTATGCATCTGAAAGAGAAACTGTGACTAAAGATGACAGAAGAAGAAGTGATACCTTCAAGATTTTTTGTTAGAGAAGACTATTGAATATCCCATGACTGCCAAAAGAAAGTGCTACAAGGGTGCTCTTTGGAGGCAAAGGTGGTGAAGCTTCATCTCACATACTTTGGGCATGTTGTTATGAGGGACTAGTCCCTGGAAAAGGATATCATGCTCAGAAAGGTGGAGGGTCAGCACAAGAGAGGAAGATTCGCAGCAAGATGGATAATACAGTGACTGGGACCGTTGGCTCATGTACATGAGAGACGAGGAAGGATGGCCCAGGATCAAGCACAGTTCAGATTCATGTGCACAGGGTTGCTATCAGTGATAGTCTATTTGACAGCGTGCAGCAAAAACGTCAGAAAAAAAAAGTTATCTGAAAAAATAATATTAATGTTTATCTAAAAATGACTTCTAATTTTCCTTCTATATAAGACATGCTGAAGACCTGGAAACATAGAAAAATGTAAAATACACCATGATATATGTTTATAAATGAAAGCAAGATTTTATTTTTAAAAAAACCAACTCGCAATGAAACTATAATAATTATAAATATTTGAGGATCGACTAGAAGATTTAAGTATGTGTAAGGCAACAAATGTTAGATCTAACTGATAGAAATAAAATTTTAAGATTTTAAAAATTGAAAGATATTTTCCTAAGAATACTAGCATATCATGAAGACAAACTTTACTGGTATATTTTAAAATATTGGTGGAATAGATAACTTTTTAGGAAACCATCTCAGGAACAGGTTTGAGGCCTTGAGCACCAATGAGTGTAGACCAAATGAGCTCTGGGAGGATATCAAGAAAATCGTCCATCAAGAAAGCAAAAGATCATTACAAAGGCTAAAGAAGAAGAAAAGACCAAGATGGATGTCAGATGAGACTCTGAGTATTGCATTAGAGCACCGAGAAGCCAAAGCTAAAGGAAGAAATGAAGAAATCAAAGAGTTGAATAGTAAATTTCAAAAGGCAGCTCGGAACGACAAAGCAAGAGACTATAATGAAATGTGCAGAGAGCTGGAGTCAGAAAATCAAAAGGGCCGGACTCGCTCAGTGTTTCAAATTCAAGCAATGGGTGGCAAAGATAGTCTGGGTAGAATGTTAAATGATCCAGGAAGTATAAAAAGAAGATGGAAGGAGTACACAGAGTCACTGTATCGGAAGGATTTGGCTGACACAGAGGAATTTCATGAAATAACATATGAGCAAGAGCCTATGGTGATGAAGGAGGAAGTTCAAGTTGCTATGAAGGAATTGGCAAAAAATAAGGCTCCAGGAGTTGACAGCATACCAATTGATTTATTTCAACAGACGGTGCCCTGGATTGCTCAATAAGTTGTGCCCGGAAATCTGGAGGACAGCCAGCTGGCCAACTGACTGCAAGAGATCGATGTTTGTTCCCATTCCAAAGAAAGGTGACCCAACAGAGTGTGGAAATTATTGAACAATATCATTAATATCACATGCAAGCAAGCTTCTGCTGAAAATTATCCAAAAACGTTTGG